TCGCTCCCGCCCTACTGTTACGTACTCTTGATTTTACACAGACGCGTTTCTTACAATACTAGAGAAAACTTTTATTGAGATTTGCTCTTACTAAATTGCTTTTTATGATCTTAATTGTTAGATAAATCGTCTAGAAATATTAATTCGAAATGGTCAAGCTATGATTTTTATATTATGCCCATCTTAACCGTGTCGTGTCCTTTTGATCAACTTGAGGAAGCAAGCAATCTCCATGGCACTTCCATAATACTATCGCGATGATAATGACCACCAAGAGCATAGCAACGAGCAATGGCTTGGTCAAGGAGGATACATACATCGACTCTCGTCGACAGGTTAGCGGTTCTCGAACGTGTAGCGGCTAATCGAATTATCGATGCTTTGAGGCTCAGCGTCCGTAGATGATTCGATCACGTAGCTGATGAACAGTTCCGGCGGTCAGCGATGCGAGCCGCTTTCGAAGGGAAACCTCTCGTTATGGACTCTCCCCGGTAACGTTTGAGCGAACTGTTTCCGCCGTGCTCCACTGGCTTCTCAACGACAATAACCGCGACCGTGTAATTACTTGCAAAAACCGGCACTAGCGCCTGAAAAAATCGACGATTGGCCACGAATTGAATGGCCGGCGGGTTTCTGTAGAATTCCAGTTACCAGAAATTCTACATATTCACAAAATAAAGTTATTAAGTCTCTTCAATCTTGAATTTCGATAAAAATTAGTACCCTATTTGTTTAATTAAAATTTGAGATTGTAAGCAGAAACGAAAAAAATTTCTTTTAATTTATAATAAGAATTCTTATTCTAAAAATTGAGACTATTGGAAGTGAATTGTAATCGAGTCAGTAGTATGTTATTAGGCAAAAATATATCAGTAATCAGTATTGCGCGTAGAAATGATCAAAATTCCACTTGTCATGATTTAAAATTTAAATTATGACTGACTAATTATAAAGCAATATGTTTACAATTTCGAGACAATCAAAACTGATTGACTTAATTTGAAAACTGAACGAACTAATGTGACTTATGCTCGTTTCTACCTCAATGTAGTTTAATTTTAATCTCGGTTCAAATAATTCATCATCTTTTTTTAGTTCTACGAATTAAAAAAAGACAAAAAATAAGTTGGAGATTAAAGTTGATAGAAACGGACATTAGTTTGCAAATTTCCTAAGATTTATGATTTATAACTCTGATTTATCACTAGTATAATGTGAATAAGGTGAAAGCCTAGAACACACAAAGAAAACATAATGCAGTAAGACATAAATAAACAAATTCACCAGTCACAGTAAAAAAGAAATAACGCAAGCAGTACTAAATCCAAAATGTTGATTTGCTTATTGCTTATGTCTTACTGTTTAAATTTCTTTGTGTACCATCATCTCAACAGCTTATTGTATTCTATAAATTCTTCGGAGTGGAGTTTCATTTTAAAGAATAAAACTTGAGTCTTTATTGAAAAACAGTGGCTCAATTTTCAATCTTTAAGAGTGAGAAATTTCAGTCTTTAGAATAACAATTCACTCTAAAAAAAGTTTTAGAGAATAGAAAGCTCATTAATGTTGGGACATTAACTTCACACGCGCAATTTTCCTGGTTTCATAATTCTAGCAGTGCGATTTCGGAAGAAAAACAGTTAAATCGCGATCAAAATTAGTTGTTCGCTAGCAGAAGAATAGTTAAAGGGATGGATATTCTTTCCCCGAAGGTAAAACCACACCCACCGCACCGATGAAAATCGCGGCTAAATACAAAGTGGAAATTGAGCTTGACGGTCGAAGGTTTTCGAGGTCGTCGGCGGAATCCAGGTCGGCGTCCGCAGGAATTTCTGCGGTGAAATTCCAGTGCACGTAACTCCAAATATTTCTGTAGTATCATAGTTCGTACGAGAGCGGGGAGATTTCGAGTTTCAAAGGAAACACTCTCGCCACTTCCGTTCGCGAGACAACGACGTCGTCCGAGAGTCTAACACGTGGCAACTGAGCGGACATATACAGCCATGACAGAAATTCTGTTGATAACTTCGAAACGCATAGACGTGAATCTAAAGTAAAAGCGTCTGTATAAAATTCATGTAGGTATATATTTACGAGTGATACCAAAAAAAGTGATGAAAGATACTCTAAATTATTTTCAATCTGATCTAATTACATTGGCGAGGTCCGCCAAAAGAGCAACATAAATTTAACATATCGCGCTAATCGATATCGCCTAGCGATTATTATGTGGGAAAGTTTATATGCGGGCGGATTTAATAGTTTGCATAATTTACCCCTAGTTAGTTATTCCATTAATCATTACCCCGGGTAGATGTGTGCATGCCCGCGAATAACAATCGTACTATTATTTATAACGTATTCAATTTATCGGTAACCCGCGGGCGGAGGTAAAGCGTGTAATCGATTCAACTCGATTAATTAACTCGCCCCCACGTATGCGATTGTAACCGAGGTGCTTCGGTGTGCACGGAGGCGTCTCTCGTTACCGTGGACGAAAACTTTCCGCCGTCGCGCAAAAAACGCACATACACAACATACATACGCGGGACACGCATTCCATGTATGCGGGTCTCGTCCGCTTATCCGCGACACAAAGGCGTTTAATTAGAAGCGCATCGGAAAACGGGGGCATCATCCGGCATCTAGTTTTTGTTCCTGGCAATTTTCGCGTTCCGCTAAGGCGATACGGATTTTTCATCCCCGTCGCCGTTAATAATTAACGGATCAAAGGCATCGTATTAATATTTGCCCTGAAGTCCCCGACCACAAGGAAGATATTAACCCGCGTAATATTGTGTCCATGCTAAGGGTGGAGAGGAGGGAAGGACATATTGAAACCGCACAAACTTCGCTCATAGCATTCGTGGGTATGAGCTCGTAAATATACCGGGTGACTGAAATCGAACTTGGCGCAGTGTGGCCGGTGGACATCGCCTGAGGAAAAAGACCGATCCGTCAATATGCGTTAACCGCATCAAGACCTGACAATTTAGTATTTTACTATTTATCTAACATGTAGGGAGTAGTGTAGTATTTAGGAACATGTACTTTGATCACAATAATTGATCACAATAATCTCTTTAACAATAATGACAATAATAGTTCATTTTTATATTATTTTAATTAAAAAGTAATATAACCGAATAACCAACATGAAAAATCCCATTATTGTTAAAAAGGAATTAATAATAAATTAATAAATTTTTTAATGTTATTGTTCAAAAATTATAATAAAGTTATGACTTTTTTTATTATTAATGGGAGGAGAGGGGACAGAGATATACTATTATTTTTTAACAAAAATGATATTTCTACCTTAGAAGACACACTATTATTTTTTAACAATATTAAGAT